TCGGTCTTTCTTTTTTATTATGCACTTGAACAAAAATTTTTTCGTTGCACCTTTCCCCGCTTTTTTCACAGGTTTATTGACCAACATTTCATTTCACCATTACTTAAACAAAAAACAAACATGCGAATTTTTCACAGAAATTGACAGACAAAATATTTATTGGTTATTGGTGTTGTTTTTTCTTTTGATGTTAATCACGGAACGTTACACGCATCTGCTTATTCGACCAATGGGCGCAATTTGAACTAATCTGATTATGGGATGACAGTGCCGAGCGATTCAACTCACGGAATGCCAAAAAAAGGTCGGTCGTCTTAATTATCACAATTGAGTTTTTTTTTCTGCCAACAATGACTCATCGTTACAAGCCTGGGGTTCTTTGGTCCCAGAAAAAAAAAAAGGTTCCAGATCTTATTATTATTATTATTATTATTATTATATTACTGTATTATTATGGTTCATTTATCTGCGACGACAAAAAACGGTTGATCAGATCCCAATGATCTCTACCAAGTTTAGTGATATTTGAGATTCAAAAGAGTTTGGTACGGCTGCAAAGGAGTTATTCGCATTTCGAATTAGCAGTAGGAAAAAGAATCACTGATACAGTATATACAGTATATACAGGATATATACAGTATTTTCCATAGGTATTTGAATAAATGCGATTAGTGTTTGATGGTAACACCAAGAAGAGTGTACAACGGAGTCTTAGTCTTTCTTAATCGTGGTGCGACACAGTTTACCAAATGTTTGGGATACCCCACTATTTCTTTTATCTGATCGCATTGTTCTATTGAAGTATCCATATTTGGAAATGCGATTCTTGTGATTCTGAGAACACCCTTAATTCACAGAGGCAATGTGTCCTTTGAACGTTGTGAGTCGCAGCTACTATGAAAACTTTGAATTTCACCCAAAAAGGTGGTTGTCTGTATATTGTTGTTATGCGCCTGATTGCGGAAAAAAGTTGCGCGTGACGCAAACGTATTGCTACGTGCAAACATATTACGATCGTTACACCACACTTATCAGTTCATCTCATGATTCATTTCCTTCTGTTGGACGGCAATACCACGTGAATAAGAAAATTTAACACTTGATCAAATTGTGGGGCGTTACATTCTTTTTTTTTTTTTTATGCAACGCCTTTGGGCTACTATTTTTATCCGAACCTATTCAGTCGTACCTTGAGTACTAAAAATGTACGGTAGCCCACCAAACTTGCATGATTCGTGATATAACAGTGCATACATTATAATAAATGGCTGGTTCAATAAATTGATTTAATAAATTGGTTCAATGTGTCTTTCTTATGGTTCATAAATATAGAACAAGAGATGGCGAAGTCATGACCAATTGTATTCCGAGATTTTTATCTATTAATAAGGTGGAGGATTGTGTCATCTCGAAATTTTTTTTCATTGGAATCTCGAGAGACACGTCAATAGCATTTTTAATTAGTCTAAACGTAGCACAACGCGAAAAATAAACAAAAATAGAATTCGAGACATTCATCGGAAAAACCACGTTTCATCTAATTTCACGGTTACGGCGACGCGACTCGTTTCAGGAATCGGGACCTTCATTCTTCCTTTCCATTCACTGTTCACTCGGGTCGCACACAATGAAAAATTTTTTTAAGAGACATCTTACTTGTGAAATAAATAATTTAATGAAACACCCGATGATGGTCCCATTCATCCACCCATTAGGAGAAAAAAATATTCCAAAAACACATAGCCGTCCAACGATCGTCGGTGTTGCGTCGAGATCAAACCAATCTGATCATCCGGTGAGAAGTGATTGATTTGCTTGTATTCCTTTAAATTTTATTCTAAATATGGTCGGACGCCACCTAATTCCTAATCACTCTCGTTTTCTATTTATGGAATCTAATTGTTGGACACCGACGGTGGAAAGCCATTTGGTGAATGACCCAATATATTTTTTTTTTCGTGAAGGTTGTTGATCATCTGATCACAATATGACGTAGACCGAATTTAAGACACATCGGGAATTTGCTTCGGACGACGATACCGTTGACAACATTCTCGGATCCCGTTTTTAGACTATAATGATGCCAAGCGAGAAACTTGATTTGTCTATGTGTGAATAACCACACCCTAAAAAATTTGTTTGGATAATGATTTTCCTTTTTAAATTTCTTACCCCAGCAACTGCGCGCGCACAGATTTTCTGCATTCGGTGGATCTTCAAAAACCTTACCAATCATCACGAAAAACTAATTTACTTGGTTTCCAGAAAAAGTCTGTAACAATTTTCATTTATCAATACGGTACTTTAATCGCTTTTAGGGCAGGTGAGTGAAAAATTTTTTTTTTTTTTTCATATCGGAAGACGCCGGCTTTTTTTTATATTATTTGTATGAGATTAGAGTAATCGCAGACAACCGTATTTATTTTAGAACACAACATATTTTATAAATATATATATATACGTATTATTATGCATCTTTGCCGCCAATTTTCACAATTCCATATATAAATTGATCGAACAAGAAAAAAAAAATATAAAAATTCTCTAGTTCTGCCATCCGAAAAAAAAGTTTTTTTTTTTTCTTTTCCGTTTCCCTTATACTCCTAAATTTGCTCTTTCGTTATTCCTCTTTTTAACATCGATCCTTCCGTCTTGACTCAATACTTAACGCTAAGGTGGCCTTGGGTGTCTGTTCGGCTTTATATAAAAACATGGAATGCCAAAATATCTTTCCTTCAAACCTCTCGCAGGTCGTTGATAATGACGGTTTGTATGTTGCTGGCGTAAATGTTGGTGCTGGAAAGGCTGAGAATTTGGTGTGCGCCACTGGCTATGACCACAGTAACAACGTCGTGGTGAGTGTGAATTTCCTAAACGACAAATACACTGTATATATTTCTTTTCTTTTCTGGGAAAGTTATCTCACACATACATAATAAATATCTCGTAACACTTCTACAGTACGACACTGTTCCTGTCGAGCATTCAGTGTTGCAGTATCCCAACCTGGTAATGTGTCTCCACCACTAAAATTTCTCTTGATCAAACTTTAATTCTTGACTCGATCTGAACTTTATATATTTCTCCCGTTGTTTAGATGATGACGCCACCGCTTATGTCCCCCACCAACATCGACTTGAAACCATTGATCACTACTCCATATGAGCTGGCCGATAAATATCACGCATTTCCATCCCCACCCTTGGTAATTAGATACTTTCGATGAAAATCCTTTTTTTTTTTTTTTCCCACTATCACAACGCTAAACCTTAAACCTTTTTTTTTTTCGTTGGTTGGTTTGTTTCCTATCCATCTTTTAGTTGATCAATCAATTGTACCCTGAACAACTCCGAGATGTCGGTTCAATGATTCCCGACCAAGCAATAATTGAGGTTAAGCACCACCATCACCACCATCACCATCACCTACTATCTCCGCCCACTTCTCCATCGCAGGTCGAGACAAAGAAATCCTTGGAAATCAATAAACCTGTGGAGAACAAGAAACCGATTAAAGTACTATCACCACCATCCATCAAGGATGAGAATGACGGGAAGGTTGAAGAAAGCAAGGATAAGAAAGAAGACGAAGCTCTTTTCGTCAATCCAAAGCAATACAAACGTATTCTCAAGAGAAGAATTGCCCGCGAAAAATTCGAAAAACGTTATGGCCTTTCCAAGAAGAGAAAGGTAAATAAATTATCATTTCACGTTCGTCGTTCAGATGATTTTTTTTTTTTTTTCCTCATCTCTGACGTCCTACTTCCTCAAAATAATTCAGCCTTATATTCATGAGTCTCGTCATGTGCACGCGATGCGTCGGCCCCGTGGACCGGGCGGGCGATTCTTGAATACTCACGAGAATACGAATGCAAATGCACACCAAAACCTCGAAACCTGCAGCAACTTCAACCCCTCCATTCCATACGTACAACCAGAGTACTCGGAGTACTACCAAGAATCCGGCAACGTGTATTATCCAATTCAGAATCCCGTCCAGGAAGTAAATTGGAACGTTGCAGCAGAACCTTATAATTACGAACCAAACCTTTATGAATCTAATTCCATCAACCCCGTCGTCCCTTTTGACAACTTTAATCAAATCAATAACCTCGGATCAACGTACTCGCCGTTGGTCACGATCGATTCCAACGAAAATCCAATGTTTGCAACATTCATTCACTAAAAATTTCGGGCAAAATCTGGCACCTGTATATATAGAAAAAAAAAATTCCGGTATCGTTATAAAATTTCTTTTTTTTTTTCTTTTTGGAAAAAAAAAAAATTTTTTTCGTTTTTATTTTCCTTACAAGAAATAATTAACAAAAATTGACAGAAAAAAAATTGACATACGTAGAAAAAAAATTGACAGAAAAAATTGGCATAGAAAAAAAATTGGCATAGAAAAAAAATTGGCATAGAAAAAAATTGGCATAGAAAAAAATTGGCATAGAAAAAAATTGGCATCAATAGAAAAAAACCCCCCAAAACGCATTTTTATACATGTATATTTCTTTTTTTAAAAAAAATTGGCATTCTCCCATTAACATAGACTTAAACATTTATTTAATTTTTCTTTACCTTAAGCGACATACGCATTTATAGAGATTTTCTTATTTACCCCTACCACCACTATCACCACCACCCCTAAACATAAGATTATATATAAAAAAATTAAATCGTTCGATGATGATGATATAAAATAAAATTAATATGCTTTTTTACTTAATACTCGAAATTCTCGTAACGGTCGAACCTTCTTAATGTAGGTTTCGCGTCCGTCCTTAGATTTGATATATTTCATTTAGCGCTACTCACACTTAATAACGCGTGCACGAAAGGTGATCCCGGAAAACCTTTACGCAAAAAAGATGATGATACCGCAATAATAGAGATTTAATTCCCTTTAATTTTTAATCGATAAAAATAGAAATCATAGTAATGGTAATATAATAAAAAAAAAATTTTTTTTAAAAAAAATAAAACAAAAACAAAAACGCGCTAATCTTCAAAAATGAAATCGGTTCTGCATAAAGATGAAGCTTTATTGTGAATGTCATGCATGCTTTCTTTGTGTTTGTTTACAAGGTCATTTAATTATCTAAACTACTATCTTAAATGGTAAAATACAACTTGTATAACAACTGTCATTATCAATGTTAGATAATCTCTATTCGATAATTGTAGAAAAAAATTTTAATGGCGGGAGCATAATACTTTCAGGGGCCGATGAAAGCCCTGTCAATAAATATGCAAGTTTCATGTTTTTACAAAGATGTAGATGTGTGACTATTATTTAACATTTCATCAGTTCATTCAATTGATCCAACAATGACCTGTCTACTTGGTTAAATATTTGAGCTCCACCGTTGAGGGTTTCGCACTCTCCAAGCTTCAGTCGAATGAATTGAGTCAGATTCGTGGTGTGTATGGGATCTCTCTGTAATAGCTGATGAAGGGTCACATGGTAAAAAATTTTCGATGAATGACCGATTAACAACGAATGTGGAGCGCAAAGTTAAAGAAATCCTACCGCTCTTTTTCTCTTAGTCTCTGGTGTATCGTCAACGCCATCCGTTCCCACCTCAGTGGAAATTTCTTCTTGCCAATAGACCAATGCGCTACAAAAAAAAATAATTCATGATTTGATCTCGCACTGCTCGAAAATCGCATTTCCAAAATCACCTACTCTCCACCGCCCGATTCCTTGACTTCACTCAACACATCTCCCCAAATTGCAACAAACATTGCCAAGTATCCCAAAATTATTGGATTTGTCGTGGAAATTAATGTGGCGAAAGCCATCGCGTTCAACTTTCTCTGCTTTGGATGGCCAATATTGTCAAACTGAAGGAGATGACTTGGATTAATATCAAAAAGACTGTTGAGAAAACATTACCAAACTAATTTAATGCAACAAAGCATCCCCATCATATTCTACCTTGTCCAACCATATCTCTAGTATTACATTTAGTAGGTGTTTGTCATTATACATCGGACCTTGTTGCTGACCAGCAATAGTTATAAAATTTATGATAAATTCGGGATCGATAAGAATCAATCTCGCTAGTAAGGACATGTAGTTCACGAGAACGTATGAGTAATCCTAAATTATTATTATTATTATTTTAATAAGCATCCTTGTTAATGGAATGAATGAACAATAATATATATACATATATATATATATATATCCCGTGTAATTTAGTTACCTCATTTTTGTTGACCATGGAATCTATTAATTTTCCCAATAACCCGCTACTAACCATCGATTCACCTAATGATGAAAAATGACACGCTTGAAATATAACATCGAGAAG